CGCGTTCGCGCAGCAACGGCAGCAGAACCGTTACCGTGGGGGAGCAGCAGCAGCAGCAGCAGCAGCAGAAGCAGCCGTGGATGTTCCGCCTCTTTGACCGGATATCCTACTACCCCATCCCCGAATCCGACCTCGACACTGCAATCACCCAAGGCCGCATCTCCGACCTCGTCCGCATCGAAGAAGGGAGCCTCGACCTCGCAGAATACGAATCCTGGCTGGCGGCCAACGAGGCCGATATTGAAGCCACGCGTATCCTCCGCGCCGAGGCGATTCGCAATGTGCCCTTTATGGAGGAGCTGCTGCAGCCGTATAATCCGCCCGAGAGTGAGCGGCAGCAGCAGAGTGGAGGTGGTATTTTTGGAGAGGATGGTGATGGTAGCAGTGACGGTGGTGTGGTCGGGGAGAGAATCAAGGCGCAGATGCCGGGCCGGTGCTGGAAGTGCGAGGTAAAGGCGGGCGACGAGGTCGAGGTCGGGGATGCGCTGGTGTGGATTGAGTCGAATAAGATGGAGATCAAGATTGGGAGTCCTGTGAAGGGACGGGTTGTCAAGATGTTGGTTGCTGAGGGGGATGTTGTTGGGCCGTTTGATGATTTGCTTGTTGTTGCGACTGAGTGAGGTTACCATATCGAGGAGTAGGGTGGTAGTATCCAGAGTGCAGTCCGAACGACTTACACCTGAGTGGTGTCCGACTCCATTTCGATGACTTTAATCTGATCTACAAGCGCCGTGGATGTTGATGTTGTATAGATTTAGATATTTGTGGCTTGAGCAGCGTTCACTAGATTCTCACGCAATGACGTTACAGAAAATCACACACATAGACACCTAAGTAGCTCTCGTCTCGAAATGATTTACGGGTATCCAAGAGACACGCAGACTATGTGAGTAACATAAACACCCAAAAGGCAATGGAAGTTCTCTCCACCGCCGGCCCCCAATCCCCCCTTTTTTGATATACCAAATCCAATTTCGCCAGCCAAACCAGAATCATTGTACATGTGTTACTCTTCCTACATCATCTCATGACCCGTCTGAACACCCTTACCCCATCATTCGGCATCGGCACGTCTTTCAAAAAGATATACACCTCTCAAATCTTGATCTCTGCAGAAGCCCTAACAGCCCCCAGCCCCCCAACATCAGCCTCCAACATCCTCAACGCCTCCCTCGCAAACGGCGCCGCCTGTGCCCGGACGCGCAGGCTCCAGAGGTACTCCTCGACGCGGTCGGCGTAGTACATGGCCTCGGCGTCATCGTCCGAGGTGGCCCACAGCAGCCCCGCAAAGGAGCCGATGGCAGCGAGCTGGGCGGAGGCAGCGAAGCCCCAAAAGGACTGTATGTGCTCCATTTGCAGGTTGGAGATGATGTTGGAGGCGTTTGCGAGGCGGGCGCGGGCGCCGGTGCGGATGGCGTGGCGGAGGGAGTCGGGCGCGTTGGAGGAGACGTTGCGGACGAGGGAGCGGTGGAGGGCGAGGTCTATTGAGATGTAGGAGAGGTGGAGGGAGCCTTTGCGATGATTAGTAAATGCTGTTCATTGATGTTTGCCATGCTTTTCAGCGAGCATAGGGGAGAAAGAAAGAGACAGGGGCAGACGGGAGGCTCACCGTTTGCAGAGAGCTTCTTGAGACGCGTCTCTTGTAGCTGTAGGGCTTCTGGTAGTTTTGCGTACCACTCTCGCAGCATCATGACGATGGGCTTCGCGAGCTCGGCGACGCCCACGGTGCCGATCTGGTCGAGTGTGCCGCCGCGGCGGGTCGCCTTGGCCGTGTAAAACGTGCCGAGCACGTCACTGAGGATGAGAGACAGCTCAATCTGTCGCAGGAACAGCTCGCGCCCGACAACGACCTCGGCGCTGCCCTCGGGGTCATGCTCCTCGTCGGCGGCGTTCTCGGGAAAATCCTCGATACAGCACGGCCGGACGTCCCAATCCTCGTCGAGGCGGATGTGCGAGGGCCGGCCATGGACGAGGGCGCCCCATTTGTCCTGCATAAACAGAGCCCAGGCGAGGCGGCGGCGCAGGCCCTTTTCCCAGTCCGGGATGGCCCAGTCGCTGCAGTCGACGTGGAGGCCGAGACCCTGGCCGAGGGCGATGAGCTGAGCGGTGAAGGTCCAGGTGTTGTTGCGGAAGCGCTGCTGGATGAGGAGGCCGGCTTGGAGGGTGGATATTTTGGGGCGCTTCATATCGTCGCTCATTGTGCGGAGGGCGAGGGCCTCGAGGGCGGCCTGGTCGGGCTGCCATGAGGATGTGGCGAGGGTGCGGTCGTACAAGGACCAGTCGAGGGCCAGGAGGTAGACGGCGGCGAGCAGAGGCGGGGAGAACTCGTGGTAGGAGCGGGCGTATTTTTCTAGAAAGACCTTTTTGTGAAGGATGGGGAAGCTGGGGTGGACGATGCGGAAGTAGAGGTTGACGAGGGTCGAGCCGAGCGGGTGGACAACCTTTTCTATGGCGTCGAGGTCGGCTATTCGTTGGGGTTCTGACGAGGTTTCGCGGTCACGGTGGATGAGGAAGACAGTTGAGTCGTCGAGGCGGCGGACGAACCTGACGGCCGGGTCTTGAGGACGATGAAGGTCCAGGAGGGAGGGTTCCCGGTAGTCTGTGTTACCGACATATTGGGAATGTGTCTTGAGATGAAGACCAAGAGTGCCGTCTAAGAGGGAGACGGGCTGGTTGAAGGTTACGTGGTGTTCTGAACCGGCGAGAGACGGTGACAGGGCCTCGAGCAGTTCGGGAGACGGGTGCCTAAAGGTGCGTTAGACGGATGACTTAAGAGAGAGTGTGTGTGAGAGATATGCTTTACTGGGCAAGGCAGTGTGAGAGAGACGAAAAGGTGTACGGGGACAGACCCGTAACACTGGATAGCCGGGAAAGGTTGATGGCATGAACCAATAAGAAGGGGGCAATGAGACTATTCGGGAAGGACGAGGTCCCGTGATACAAAGAGGTATGGGAAAGGTAAGGTATGGTAAGGTAAGGTAAGTTAGAGAGTCTAGACCAGTGTCGAGGGCAGTTCAAGACGCCCGAGAGATGAAGGTACGATAAGAAAGATGTCACATCACTTACGTTATCTCATCCTGGGGATCCAGCGGGACGGGAGCAGGTGGAGGACCTGAGGTGGCAGAGACGGAACCATTGGTCGAGGGGCGATGTTCCGGGGGATCGGTGGCCTTCCGGCGCTTGCGCGGGAGCGGCCCGCGGAGATATGTGCACGGCTGGCCGTGAAAGGAGCACATGACGCACTTATCACGGCCCTCTTCGCGGACGCAGCGCGTCTTGCGCTGACGACATATGTCACAGGGTCGACTCTGGGCGGTGCCTGCGGCGTTGGAGGCGCCCAGTGCTGCTTGTGCTGCCGTCTGGCCGACGGCGGCTGCTGCAGAGGGGTGTGACTCGAAGGAAGGGATGTTGGCTGACGGCGAGGAGGCCGGTATGGTCGTTGGACCGGGGCCGGCGGTGGCGGGGTCGCCGTAGGGCGCCGGTGTGGTGTCCATGTCCATGACGGGCGGGCGGAACCGGGCGACAGCCGAGCCGAGGAGCGCGGGGGCGTGCGTGCGCTGCGTGCGCGAGTGTAAGGTAAAGATAAGGGGGGGTGAAGGGTTACGCAAAAGGTTGTGATCAAATTGGGTTGTGTCAGGCGACAGATAGTGCCGAGTTGTGCGAGAAGTGAAATCCGAGATTAGGTGAGGTACGTAGTATGGAGTAGGAAGGTTGTTAGGTGGAAGGGGAAGTGGTCATGTAAAAGCAGTGACACACAACACGAAAGACGGGGGCACTGGTGGTCGTAGACGATGATGCGTGAGGTGCTGTCAGAATGGGAATAAAAGGGAAGACTTCCCCGCCGCCGATGATGGAAGATTGTCGTGTGAGTGCCACCCGGTTCCTCTCTCACAAAAACGTTAGGGTCAAGGTCAACGCTCTGCCTCTGGTGATGCCAAATGCTGGGTACTTGGACTGAGTGAGCGGCTATGGCACGGTAGTCATGAGGCTGATCAATCACGACTGAGCTGAGCTGCAAGCGAGTGTCATGGACCTGTCAGTCGGTAGAGGTACCTGGGCCCGGCCGAGTGGTTGTCTCTGTGCGTCTGAGATGAGTGAGATACCTTATGGAAACACGCAATTGCTGTCCTTGTCCTCCAATGGACCCCACGGTCAGGTACTCGAATTCGGGGTCGACACCGATAGTCTGCTCAAAGGTCTCGAACACTCAGTCAGTGAGACAAGCGCTCCAGAGTCCAATGGCTTATCGCTAGGGTCGTGTGTCAGGTCGTCTGATTCAGCTGGGCTGCGTGCTGCTCGCTGCTGTTATCGTAAAGCCTGGTCGGAATATTTTTCATCGATAAGTCTCCCGTGCGGTGGTGTGCAGGTACAACCTGAAAGTTACGGATAAGATAAGATATCCGAACGCTGTGCGGGATAAGGGAAAACCGGGATGGGGAGGCAGAGAAAGACTAGCCGGATACATCGAGAAGTATCTACGAGTATACCCATACGTCTACGTAGGTAGAGGCTACATTATACTACAACCCTGCTCAGTGCAATTCCCCGTAGCCCCATCACCATGTCCCCTGCGGGCCCTGCCAGCGGCGTTGCCGGCTACACAGACGCGGACTGGTCGGACTGCTGACAGCTCCCGGTCCCCTAAACTTCGAGAACACGGTGCCATACCAGTACCACTGCCACTCGAGGTACGTACCCCCGTCTGAGGTCAGGTAAGCTCTTGCTTGCAACGTCGACGGAACGAGAGCCGACTCTAGACGCCTGCCTCATTTTCCCTCCAACCTGGAAGTTTGAACCACCGACAGTAACGAAAGGGACACGATATCTACAACCTTATTCACAAGCTCTCCACAATCCACCAACGCCGAAACGACGACACCGAGCAGCCGCTATTCCCAACAACCACCTCCAGACAACATCCCGATTCGCGATCCCGTTCGCCTTCTCCTCGTTACACCCCCTTTCTGTCTCCACGGAAGATGACATCGCAATAACTTACAATGGCCAAGGCCCCAAATCATGGAGCCAACCAAGACGACTCCCACCTCCCGGGCGCCGTCGCCGCCCACTCTCACCACAGCCCGAGCGAAGAGGACAGAGGCCTCCTCGCCGACGACCCCCTCTCTCCGCACCACCATGAATCTCACGGCGCCAGCATAACCACCACCACCACCGGCGACGAGGGATACTTTGTAACAGCAAAGCAGTACGCCACATCCCTCCGATCTCCCGGCACCCCCCGGACCCCGAACCGCGTCCGCTTCAACCCCATTCCCTCCATCGTCGAGCCGCCACCCCCCCGCGCCTCAATGACCAACAGCAACGGCGGCTCCTCCGCCCGCGCCAGCCGCGACAGCTTCGACGTCGACGACGACCTCTTCCACCACGCCCCCGGCGCCGACGACCACGACGACCATCATCGCCTCCCCCTCCTCACAGACATCGAGGCCCCCTCTGTCGCCCTCGCCAACAGCCCCTGGGGCGAGGACGCCGACGACGTACACGAATGGGCCGAGCAGGAGCGCGCAAGGCCCAAGTCGGGTCTGAAGATGGCCTTCATGAACATGGCCAACTCCATCATTGGCGCCGGCATCATCGGCCAGCCCTACGCCTTCAAGCAGGCCGGCTTGCTGGCCGGACTTGTCCTCCTTGTCGGCCTCACCGTCGTCGTGGACTGGACCATCTGCCTCATCGTCATCAACAGCAAGCTGTCGGGGAGCAACAGCTTCCAGGGGACCGTCGAGCACTGCTTCGGCAAGACGGGGCTCATCGCCATCTCGGTCGCGCAGTGGGCTTTTGCCTTTGGCGGCATGGTGGCCTTTGGCGTCATTGTCGGCGACTCAATACCCCACGTCTTCACAGCCATCTGGCCCGACATACGCGAAATGCCCGTGTTCCACCTCTTGGCGAACCGGCAGGTGGTCATTGTAGTCTTCATCTTGGGGATTAGCTACCCGCTGACGCTGTACCGCGATATTGCAAAGGTGAGTCGCCTATTGCATCTGAAATAAGGGCCAGACACAAGAAAACTGACACGATACTCGTCCCCATTGATAGTTGGCCAAGGCAAGCACATTAGCTCTCATAAGCATGGGTGTCATTGTAGCGACTGTCATTATCCAGGGAGCTCTCACTCCCAAGGCTGATCGGGGTTCCTTCACACCCGCCCTTCTGACCGTAAACACTGGCATATTTGAAGCTATTGGCGTGATATCCTTCGGTTCGTCGTCCACTTTTGCGTGTCTCTTACACAACCTCTGTTCTTGAGCTAACGGGGCATAAAAATGATCACCAGCATTCGTATGCCACCACAACTCCCTCCTCATTTACGGCTCCCTCAAAACCCCCACAATAGACCGCTTCTCCCGCGTGACGCACTACTCGACCGGCATCTCCATGGTCGCCTGCCTCCTCGTCGCCCTCGCCGGCTTCGTCACTTTCGGCGACAAGACGCTCGGCAACGTCCTCAACAACTTCCCCTCGGACAACGTCATGGTCACTATCGCCCGCCTCTGCTTCGGCCTCAACATGCTCACGACTTTACCGCTCGAGGCCTTTGTCTGCCGCGAGGTCATGTTCAACTACTTTTTCCCGGGTGAGCCCTTCAACATGCACCTCCACCTCATCTTCAGCTCCGCCCTCGTCGTCTCCGCCATGGTCATGAGCCTGCTCACCTGCGACGTCGGCGCCGTCTTTGAGTTGGTGGGCGCCACGTCCGCCTGCGCCATTGCGTATATCCTCCCGCCGCTCTGCTACATCAAGCTCACCACCCGCTCGTGGAAGACGTACGTCGCCGCCGCTATTATTGTATTTGGCACCGTCGTCATGGTGATTAGCCTCATACAGGCGGTCGCCAAGATGATTAGCAGTATGTTTGACACCTCCCCCCGGCCCCCCTTTCCCCCCTTTTTTAAACAAATCACCCGTCCCTCTAGGTCATCAGATTAACTAACTACAACCTCAGGTGACGGCGGACCTGCAAAGTGCATGTAAATCACTGTATGATTAAAGAAGGAAAAAAAAAAAAAAAAAGAAAGAAGACAGGTTGTTTGTATCGTCTAGAGTAAGAGTAGGGAACAAGCGAGCCGCCCCCATCGCGTTCCAGGCGCGCTGAGGAGTGACGGGGGGTAAATAGGTTATAGACAAACCCCGGAACCGTTGTATAACACGTGGTCTTTGGTAGACTACTATAAGTAAGGTATTCAGGGTATTTAAACATTATGGTGTTGCTTTTTTTTTCTTGTTTTTGTTAGATGCGGCAATTGGGATTGGCGTAGGAATTGCCAGAGAAAAACAGCTTCTTCTTTTTTTTTCTCTCTCAACAAGCCGGATTTGATGACTTTTCCTGTTTTGAAACGTGATGGCTTTGATGCCATGCACTGCGGAGCATCGATGAAATGATATTGACACTATTTTCTGATTTAGCCATTTTCGGATGTCCAACTCCCCGCAAGCAGAAATGAGGATCTTCACACTTAAGATCGCTCCCTCAAAATAAGAAAGCAACTTATAGTGTCGGCCGCTAAGAAATCCGTACCGATGAACTGGAGGCTCAACACTTGAATAGTACGAGTAGAATAGGGACAACGTTATAGCCGTAAAGAATCAGACGCTTTTATTTACCATTACAAGTTGTATCTATATCTACAGTGGCCGAATTGTAGGGGCCCGTCTGTGTCGGTTCCCAGGGGGTATCATGTGCACGTAACCATCCAATTTCCCATCCATATCTGCAATCCCAAGATCGCTGCGCTTGAACAAAACATAAACTTCTCAGAAGAATCCCAACATGGCGAACATGCAGAAAGATACTGCAGCGACCACATTGACGTGAGTAACAGAGGCATATGGCGCAGCCCCTGACTGGGCTGCGGGCGAGGTCTGCGCAGCGGCGCTCCCTGTGGCAGTCTCATGTCCCCCGAGACCAAGGGCGGGACCAGTCGTCGGAACAGCTGACACGACAGTCGTTTGGCCGGGGTTGTTAACCACTGCTGGTGTGGCCGAAGCCGATGCGGTGCTGGTTACTGGTGGGGGGTCGACTCTAGTCGCAAATCCTATAGTGACAGCGGTCAGCATCTAGTACAATGAAGTGGTAATGAAAGTGGCGACTTACCTATGCGTTTTTGGTCCTTGTCAAATACAGCATAGACATTTTTTAGGAAGACGTCTCCCAAAAGCCAGGCTCCCGCTACGACCTCATGGCCGTAAATGTTGCTGGTGCATGTGCCGTCTGCTGCAGGGCTGGATCTCCAGTCCTTAGGGGAGATGACATAGCTGACACCCGAGAATGTGTATGTTACATCCTTGTTGCTGTCGCACGGCACCTTGTACGTCGTGCCATCATCCGAGGTAGATCCAGGAATGTTCTTGTGGAAGGCAGCGACGTCGGTCTGGGGTCCAAAGACGTAAGAGGTACCGGTGTCGACATAAGCGAGCTTGCCAGCTGCGCCAGACTTGAGGCCGTCGTACTGAATGCCATCAAGAGGGACTGCCCAGTCTCCGTTGTCGTTTCCAACTCCGGTGTAAGTGATGTTGCCGGTGTACTTTTCGGTGTTACAGGTACCAAAGCTGATTTCGCTAGTGTTCGGTCCATCCGCTGCCCTGCTGAGATATACACAGAAAATGTTTGCAGGAAGTTGGCCGGAACTCTTGACAACTTGCATGAAGTTCTCGGTCTCGCCACCCGCCATGGAGAGTCCTAGAATGCCGTCGAAAGGGAAATGATTGAAGTCATCCGACGTCTCGTTGGCCACACCGAATTCGAAGTCAAACTTCATGCCCGCAAAGGAAACGGTGTCGGTAATCTTATCGCCTTTGACTGAACCCGATCCGTAGGCGACAGCAAAAGTCTCCCCCGTTGGCTTGTACGTGTCCGAGTCCGTAGGGCCATATGAACCGTGCTTCTCGCAAGCCGACGATGTGCAGGAGCTGCCCATAACCCAACTAGTTCCCGCTCCGGTGTCGATGAGCATCCATAAAGGCTTCTCCTTGGAACCTAATTTGACCTGGGCAAAGTAGGAAAAGTCGGTACCATCCTGAGCGACGGCGGCTGCGGTCTTGAGAGTGGTGTCTGCCGCTGTGACAATGCGATACAGGCTCTGCCTCTTAGACTTGGATGCCCTCTCTCGGATAGCAGCGGACTGGAATCTCGCATACTTGCGGGAAAGACGTTGAACCTCACGGGCAACTCGTTCGGATTCGGGTTCTTCGGTCTACAAGGTCTTATGTCAGTAACCCTGGGCTCATAGTTCCATGTTGTTCTCCATAACGTGATTTGACTAGGATCCAAAAGCCTCTTCTGAGTATTCGTCAGGATATTTCGACTTACCAAAGATTCCTTTGTGATTTGAGGGCCAACATGGAAGCCGGGGAAATTGATGGCTTTGATGGCATCGACGGCATCAGATCCAAGGGCATCTTGATCCTTCAACTCCCTCTTGTGAGAACTGCATCCACCTTCGAATGGACAATGCTCAGATACGTCCCAAGGAAAGAAGGCATGAACAGACGTCAAGAACAGGGATAGCTGGGCGAGGACCAAGGTAGAACGCATTATGCCTTGGCTGCGGCTGGCAAGTCGAAGTGACGCTCGGTACGGGTACGATGAATGGCTGATGCAAAGAGTCGAAACGTAAAGCTGTCGAGAGCTAACGTAGGCGTTTTCAAGTCAAAGTGTGGCGGTGATTCAACGATGCTTGACGTGGTGAATAAGCTGAAGGTAGCTTATGGCAGGTGATTGACAATCGAAAGACGTTGGGCGCAAAGTGAATCGCTATACGGTCGATTTCGGCCAATACAAGCTCGAGCAAGCAAGCGGGTACCAGACTCCGCGATTTCGGACAGATTATGATATTAGGGATTAAGTTGAGCGCATTGAAGGCTGGTAGAAGCTGGACGGAGAGCCGTCAGGAGTCAGGTCGTGTACGAGAGGAATGCGTAATCTTTTGATAGTAGGCTTGGCTGGTGGTTCTGAAATGCTGTACGCGGGCCGGTCGAACCAAGGGTGAGACAATGGAATAGAGGGGCGGATGATCGAGGGCGGCGTCGGCGTGGAGCGGCAGAGACACGATGCAAGACAATGAGACAAGTGCAAGGGTGAAGAGCCAAGGACAAGGGACTGGCAGAAGCGATGAGAGGTTCTGCTGTCTGTCTATATCTGTGACCAAAGACACAAAAAAAAAAAGGGCGAGCAATGGGAAAGCAACTCTTGAAAAAGGATGAGATGCACCCCGGGGGAGGAAGAGGAGGAGGAGGGTGGAGGTCGGTGAGGTCACGTAAAGTGATGATGTGAGGTGAAGAGGAGAGAGAAGGAGGCGAGGAGGGGATCGTGGGGAGTAGATATGGAGATTTGCGAATCGGAGAGCGAGGAGCCCCGGTTGAGTTGCCAGGCCCAGGCGAGCTAAGGCTTCTAGCGACGATGGGCTGGCCCAGGGTCGCAATTGGGAAGTGTGGAAGTGCAGGTGCAGGGTAAACCGCCATGGATGGTGATGGGCGGATAGGCGGGCTGGCAGGGGTACGGAGTACGGGTACCTCACAGCAATGGGAGTCTGGAGGACGCTACAGAAGAAGGTCAGACATGGCTTGTCATTGAAAGGAGCTTCACGTTGTAGATATCTAATGTTGATTATGAGGGTGCAGAGTACCTTGAGAGAGTAAAATGGCCGAGGGAATACTTTGGAGCTGGCGGATGATGGCTTCCACTGTTGGACTGGTGGCTCAACCATCAATGACCCCAAGTGGATGGCTCTAGACTCGAGGTAGTTGGGATGGACAGCAGCTAGTCAGATCTGCACACATGCATGCAATTGCACAGGGGGGGGGGGGGGGACGGCGTTTCTGGCTTGATTGTGGATTGTGGTTGCCATCGGTTGTTCATTGCCTTTGGATTGCCATTGGGTCAAGTTTGTCAGTTGTTTCTGGCATACGGAGTAATACGTTCTGCGTTGTTTCTTGCGCACCTCCATCTTCCATTTCGGGACTTGAACTCTTTCTGCCGCGTCGTTCCGTCTGTCCTGTATGCCTGTCAGCCGCGGCCTGCCAGTCAGTCTTTCTCTTGCTCCTTCCTCTTTCTTTCTGTTCATGTCTTACCAAGGAAAGCCATGCCACGGTCGAGGCCACCCCTGACTTGCAAGTACCTACCTAGGTACACTTGTATCCTTCCTCCGTACCTTCCATTGGGTGATTGGGTCACGCTTTGTGTGGAGACCACATGGTCCGTGGCGTCATGCACCTAGCTGGCTGTTTCCCAGAGAGAAAAGTGGCAGGAAATACCTAGTAAAACGCAAAGGAAGGAGCCGAGAAACGAGGGAAACCACCACCCACGACACCTTATTGCCTTTCTCTACCTAAGGTATTGAGTCTTGACATCAACCGAGAAACAAAGTCTCTTCCTTGTGCGCTCATGGGATGAACGATGGACCATCCATTGGCCAATTCGGCCATCCATTCAGATCAACATGCGACATTGATTGGCCCCCTGCTTTACGCGTCCACAACCCCAGCTGTCCATTCTTTTCTCTTTCGGGTCCGCGCTTCTCAGTCTCCAGTCTCCGGTCTCAGGGGCGCTGTCAATCAGAGCTTCTTTGCTTTCCAGGCTGCTTGTTGCTCCTACCTCGGGACCACCAGTCCATGTGCCCATGCCAAGTGCCTTGGCTTGGTCGGTCCCTTATCTTCCCGGGATCCCACCCCGTCCATGACCTCTCTGGCGTCTGCCGACGCATGCGGCTGTCGTTCTTGATTCTTCCATTATTCGAGGCCTCGCGGCGTCCTTGTCTCTGTCTCAAATTGCTTCGCCTTATATCTGGCCTGGCCGTCTGGATCGGTCTCAAGTCAACACTGGGCGGAACAAAACTACCGGCAACTCAATCGCTTCGCCGTTTGCATTTTGCATCGCGTCCCATCTCCACCTCAGCAAGCCACCACCTCGTGGTAAAATGTCTTTTGCTCGTCACGGTGGCCTCGGCCGTCGACCGTTACCGTGTGTGGTGGGATACGAAAGTCGAACAGGCAATTACTAGCCGCAGCCACCGAAGAAAGACGCTTAACCTGCCTTAGCGGCATTGGCGCCTCGAAAACAAGGGGCACCTCAATCATCTCCACTTCCAATGTCGCCTTGCTGCTGCTTCGGGCCATCTTCTCCAGCTTCTCTCCAGGCCGTCCCCTTGCACCAAAGGTGGCTACCGGCCCTTTTGGGACCAAGTCGACGAGTCCAAATGTGATGGACATTGGCTCGTCGCTCGTCCACCTGTCTACCAATCACCACCACCATCCAACACGGCATCTTTGCTTCTTGTCTCACTGTCGACGCTCTCCCGAATCTCGCCCGCTTCTCGATCACTTCTTGTCCATAGACTTGGAAGTTGATCAACCAACCACGCCGCAGCTCCCGTTTCTTTTGTTCAAAGCTCCACGACGACTGCATGCAACGAGCAGCGCCTTGTCGAGACCATTTCTTCGGCTGGGAACGTGCGTCTGTCGCCGGACTCGAGCACGGCACTTGCTCGACCGCGCATCCACGTCAATCAAACCATCAAACGGACTGACGGGCGCTGGAACTGGCTCGTGCTCCTCATGTCATTTGGAAATCCGATCTCCCATGCTCAGGACCTTGGACCGTGGACCGTGGACTGTGGACGTACTCCAACTGAGGTGGTCCACGCTGAAAGTCCATGTTGACTGGAGATCCCAAGTTGCAGTGCACCGCAATCTCACGTACCTCTATTCATGCTGGCTCGCTGCTCTCCGTTCGTCTCCTGTGTAGAGTGGCACAACTGGCTACCTCGGTCATTTAACGGGCGTCTCTCAACACTCATCTTCAACCTGGAGCCTCTCTAGCCGTTTTGGCCATTGCCTCTAGGGCCCCTGGCAGCTTCTAAGAGCTCTCAGAGTCTGGACCAACATCCAACCGTGGTCCAGCAAATGATCAACCAACTGGACTGGATAAGATCAAAGAAGAGATGCATGCGGCAGATGCTCAATTCGCGGTGGAAATCATCGCCGTCCAGGACCCCAGGCTGCTCCAGGGTCCAATTTGCCTCGAGCCACCTGAGCTTTACACTTAAACCAATTACCCGGCCCTGTCGTTGCAGGTCAGAGCTTCTTCCCTTTGAGTCGGTTGACAATCCTTGAGAACTCGAGAAGATAATTACAGAATATACCGCCTACGGCGCCTAGAGCCCCTTCCCCGTCAGCATGGGATTCAATGAACAGGCGCGTCAATACAAAGTCTTCTCCCGCAGTGAAATCTTCGGCTGGCGGCTTCCTGACCCGATTGTGGCGCTGCACGAGATCAGTCCAGCCGGTTCGCTACAGGTAATAACGAGCCAACATGATGCGCGAGCGCTAAATCATACACACGTTTGCCAATACTGTTTGCGAGCGATTGCTTAATCATTGTTCAATACGATATGCATCATCACGATCAATGATGAAGTCCACGTTCTTTATCCGATGATGCTGTATATGTAGGAGGCGTCGACTGCCAACATTTGACAGCGAATTGGCTCTCGCCATCTCAGCCATACGTCCTGATCTTCTTCACTGAACTGCTAATGCGGATATGGCAGGCGGACAGGGGCTTCCGAATGTGGGTGTGATGGACAGGGGTCGCGGCCGTGAAGGGTTTCAGCCGCGAATCACCGAGTCTCGATCAGCTCAGCGTGGTTGTCGGCTGTTGGTCGATTCGGTGCTCCAAGAATGCTCCCAATTACAATGTGCATTGCACTAGTATGATGTTGTAACTTGGAGGGCCGGAACCTTTTGATCTTGTTGATCCCAGAGAGTTGCCAAGTAAGGTAACGTCAATGTGTGCAATCATTTCTGAGTATGAGGAAAACTAGGCATAATTCTTCATAGGATTTCTACTGCGATGCTTTACCTTATGCTTTACGCTAAGCGCAATGCCGCTGTTTATTCTTACTCTCAATCGAAAGCAACAAACGTCCAATCCCATCATGACAGAATAATTCAAGGCTCACCCCGGAAGCTAATTGAATCTGAGAATGAGCATGATATATGCTTCTTCCAGAAGTCTAAATTTGTACTCGTATAATCAGCACTGGCACCGGGATTTTGCCGGTTTCCCCCTTCTCTATTTCACCCATACCATTTTCACTGGTGGTTTTTACAGGCTGCCTGGTCATCTGGGCCGTACATATCCCACCACGTCCGCGCTGTTCTCAATACTGCCGCTTCGAGAGAGTCCTCGGCACTGGTTGCTGTCAGCCGCTCTTGAACGCTCGCAAATCTATCTCTATCGATTTGTCCCAGCACGGGCCAAGATGCTATGGTGCGTAGAAACCACCAGACAGACTCATTGCACCACCGGAGAGATTCTGCCAAACCCAAAGCCTCATTATAAACCAACGAAACTGTTTCTCTGTCGTCCTTCCCCAGCCTATCAATCAAATGCGCGAGAAAAGACCAGCCAGAAACATCTGAATGGTGTCTGAAAGACCACTTCTTAACACTCTGAGTCAGTGACACAAGCACGTCGAGCTCAGAGACGACCAGGAATGTCTTCGTTAACCACCGAGCATGAGTCCATGCGTAATAGTTACGCGGATGCCGCTCTCCAGCCATCATGATAACCGTTTCGACATCCTGTTGAACCGCAACAGGAAGCCCGGCATCACGGTACCGCTCCGACAGCCAGCGTCGATGGTTCCATAACGTTGGCGACTTTGTGTGTCGGTGTAGTCGGCTGGTGAGTAGACTGTCAACAAACCACTTTTCCCGTGCTAGATTCGCCTTCACGGTGTTACCCGCGGAGATCGCATCAGAAAGAAGACGCTTCCTGGTGTTGGCGGCTGTGAGGTGCTCAGGGTCCATTAGAAGCAGGACGCTTGTTGCAGCCATCAGCTGCTCACGTCCCACCATAGAAAGATCATGGATTTTGTGCTTCTGGAGAATCTGTCTGGCGAAGAGAAAGGCCTGGACGATACGCAGCTTGGGAATTGCAACTGCATTCTCGTCTCGTAGGAAGTTCTCGTCCGGGCCCATTGGATGGCCCTGGCCTAGAATCTCAATCTCCAGGAGACCATCATCTTGCGGCTGCGCAAAAAGCCCAGAGACGTCGTTGAAGATTTGCTCGTGGTCGCCTTGTTTAAGGGCAGCAATGATGTGCTTATTCAGAGCTCTCGACATTGCTGTATTGGTGGGTTGTTGGACGGGACTGTCTTGGCTTTGAGCATGTCTGTGAGCCTCACGACAAAATGCTTGACAAAAGTGATTTAGTGTGTAACGGAAGCTCTCGAATGGGCAAGCCGAACCACCGGAATGGACCCTAATCCTAGGTCGAAACGTTGAGGCCGTTCAAATCTTGCTCCGATGGAATGTAAACGCGGAAGTTGGAGGTGATTGGTTCTTGCTGCTTGACGAGGCGGCCAGTGGCTTACAGTGGCTAAGGTCCCCGCTAAAGATGCAATTCGCGGGGCAATGACATAGGACCACGTTTTCCCGCCCACGCAAGGGCACGATCGAGCCCGGTCACACACCTACCTATCGACAACCTTTCAGCCTCGCACATCACAGACATGTGCCGATAGATACCCGAAACAACCGCTTGCGAGTCTGTGATCTTCAAAAGGGTGTCTATCATGCCCTCTCTACTCGTCATCATCCTCGTGCTGGAGGTGTTCTCCCACTTGGTCAACACCGTCGGAGCTGCAGCCATCAACAATTTGGTCAGTCTACCCTACCTTCACATCCCTTTAACTTCTTCTCCCGCCTCCACGCCCAGCCCGGTCACGGGAAGAGATCGCCGCGTTTGCTAACAGCCTAGAAGCTTTGGACAACCCTCAACTACCTCCCCATCTCGACCGCCAAGGCAGCTGCGCAGCATCGAAAGCTGCAAGCCGACTTCCTCAAGACGCGAAAGGAACTGAATGCGACTAGCAGTCAGGATGAGTTCGCCAAGTGGGCCAAGCTCCGTCGGACGCACGACAAGCAGCTGGAGCAACTAGAGAAGAGTAGTACGTTGCACAAAGCCACGATGCGGCGTCATAGAGCCAGGCTGTACGGAGTAAGATCACTGACATTCTGTTTCCCAACACACAGAGCAAAACCAGGAAGCATCGAAATCAAAGTTCGACACCTACCTCACGGGCTTCCGATGGGCCCTCACCAAAGTCCCTCAATACGGCCTCCCCTTTTGGTTCTCCAAGGAGCCCATGTTCTGGCTGCCGTACGGCTGGTTCCCTTACTACGCCGAATGGATCCTCTCGTTCCCCAAGGCCCCAATTGGCAGCGTTAGCATCGCCTCCTGGCAGTTGGCGTGTTCGGGCATGGTCACGCTCCTCACCGAGCTGATCGTCTCGATCGTGGGACTCGTGTTCACGGCGAAACAGGGCAAGGGACAGCCGGTCAAAGTTCCTGCGTCGTCGGGTAAGACGGCGGCATCCAAGGCTGCGGCTAGTTCGTCCGAGAAGGAGAAAAAGGAGTTGTGATGCGGCTAGGCTATGTGTCGCCGTAGCGAGGATCCGAGGCAAGCACATATAAAATAAAGTACATGTCTTTGGCTCATGGAGCGGTTTAAACATTATGACACTGAAAACCTTTGCTTGTTGTCGGCATCATCTTGAAATCTTACAGACGAGCAAAGATCCTAGAGCCGACGCAGTCAAGCACGCAGAGCAAAACTGCGGCACTCGTAGCCTGCAGGTCATGCAGTCGCCACAGCCAATTCAAGGGCCATGGCCGCATGCTTGGGCGTGCTATAAAGGAAGGAAATTTTTAATGGAATGTATCTCGTCTAAATTTGACGCAAAGTTCTTAATTGCAAGGCTAAGACTTTGTAACACGATCAAGAATAACCCTTGGCAGGGTATTTGGGGTTTGCTCTAGGCGTCATATTGACTTTGGTGACCATTTGAGTCCTTGCGGACGGCCAACAAAGCTTCGAAAGCGCCATCGTCACGTAGAATTGATCTCTTTGTCTTGCAAAAGCAGACGTAGCTGATGTTTAGTAGTATGATAGCAAGTTAGGCTCACGCAAAGATCTGCTGGCAAGAACATCTCCAATTTGAGAGTTGTTGTCCAAGTAATGGAGCGGCAGAAGCGCAGTTTCCTACTGGAAAACGACCTGAAATTGCAGGTATCGCTTGCTGTATCTCGTACTTTGAGTTTGTTGTGAATCTGGAAGAGGGAAGTTGAGAAGAGACTACTGTGGATATTTCGCGAAAAATATTTGCGAGGAAAAGTGCACCGCCACAGTCCACTTCGAGGTCGCGCCACACTGGGAGGCTATTTTCCGGAATAACCAACCAGCCGAGGAGTGTGCTCAGCCCCATCGTACATTCATTCGGGAGGCAACGACATCAACTTGGCAGCTCGTTATTTAGTACCTGCATCGACAAGCTTGATCAACAACCCCCATCGAACGGCTCGGAGCTCCCGCCATACATCAAGATGGCGCCGGCACAGGATACCATGTTTCGCTCGGCGAACATGAGTATGGTGCAGTTGTACATTTCGAATGAAATCGGTCGCGAGGTCGTCACAGCCCTTGGAGAGCTTGGTCTCCTCCAGTTCCGCGATGTACGTCGCCAACCCCCTCCCTGGATACTGTTGAGGTCAACACGAACATCGAAGCTGACCAGCCGTAATTCATTTAGCTCAATGGAGATGTCAGCGCTTTCCAGCGCACCTTTACTCAGGAGATTCGAAGACTCGACAATGTCGAACGCCAGCTGCGTACGTCATCATTTCCCAACCGCGCATCACGAAACCCTTGGGTTGGGATAAACTAACATCATGGCAGGCTACTTCTACGCCCAGATGGAGAAGGCAGGAATCCCTCTCAGAAAGTTCGATGTCGATGCCGAGAGACTTGCCAACCCGTCGACCTCCGAGATTGACGAACTCGCCGAGCGAAGCCAGAGCCTCGAGCAACGCGTCTTCCAGCTTAACGACAGCTACGAGACCTTGAAGAAGCGCGAAGTTGAGCTCACCGAGTGGCGCTGGGTCCTCCGCGAGGCCGGCGGCTTCTTTGACAGAGCCCACGGCAGCGTCGAGGAAATTCGCGCTTCCACCGATAACGATGACGCCCCTCTCCTCCAGGATGTCGAGCAGCACAACTCGGCCCCCGAGGTCGAGCGATCCTTCTCTGGCATGAATATTGGCTTCGTGGCTGGTGTTATCAATAGGGACCGTGTTGCCTCCTTCGAACGCATTCTCTGGAGAACGCTGCGTGGAAACTTGTACATGAACCAGTCTGAGATCCCCGAGCCGCTCGTCGACCCCACCAACAACGAGGAGATCAACAAGAACGTGTTCGTCATCTTCGCCCACGGCAAGGAGATCTTGGCCAAGATTCGCAAGATCTCCGAGTCCATGGGTGCTGAGGTTTACAACGTGGACGAGAACAGTGACCTTCGTCGTGACCAGATCCACGAGGTCAACGCTCGCCTTAACGACGTTCAGAACGTTCTCCGCAACACCCAGCAGACCCTGAACGCTGAGCTCACCCAGATCTCCCAGGCCTTGTCTGCGTGGATGGTCTTGGTCACCAAGGAGAAGGCTGTTTACAATACGCTCAACAACTTCTCGTACGACCGTGCTCGTAGGACTCTCATTGCTGAGGGTTGGTGCCCGACGAACGACCTGCCGCTGATTCGCTCTACGCTGCAAAACGTTACGAACCAGGCAGGACTCTCGGTACCTTCCATCATCAACGAGATCCGCACCAACAAGACTCCGCCTACGTACATCAAGACGAACAAGTTTACTGAGGCGTTCCAAACTATTGTCAACGCTTACGGTACTCCCACTTACCAGGAGGTCAACCCAGCACTTCCCGTTATTGTTACCTTCCCCTTCCTCTTCGCCGTCATGTTCGGTGACTTTGGTCACGCCGTCATCATGGTCTCTGCCGCTCTTGCCATGATCTACTGGGAAAGGCCTCTCAAGAAAGTCACTTTCGAGTTGTTCGCTATGCTCTACTACGGAAGATACATCGCCTTGGTCATGGGTCTTTTCTCTCTCTTCACCGGTCTTATCTACAACGATGTCTTCTCCAAGTCCTTGACGCTGTTCGACAGTGCCTGGAAGTGGGATGTTCCCGACGACTACAAGCCTCCTCAGACTCTGACTGGTAAGCTCAATGACCACGGTTACCGCTACCCCTTCGGTCTGGACTGGAGATGGCACGAGACAGACAACGATCTTCTCTTCAGCAACAGTTACAAGATGAAGATGAGTATCGTTCTGGGTTGGGCCCACATGACCTACTCCCTCATCTTCGCTTACGTCAACGCCAAGCACTTCAAGAAGCCCGTGGATATCTGGGGTAACTTCGTCCCTGGCATGATCTTCTTCCAGTCCATCTTTGGCTACCTCGTCATGTGTATTCTCTACAAGTGGTCCGTCAACTGGAGCGACCCTCAGAACCCCCGCAACCCTCCTGGACTGTTGAACATGTTGATCTACATGTTCCTGCAGCCGGGTAAGCTCGAGGAAGGCGCGCAGCTCTACCCCGGACAGGCCACTGTCCAGGTCTTCCTCCTGCTTTTGGCCGTTATTCAAGTCCCGATCCTGTTGTTCCTGAAGCCTTTCTGGCTTCGCTGGGAGCACAACCACGCTCGCGCCAAGGGTTATAGGGGCATTGGAGAGAGCTCTCGCGTTAGTGCCCTCGACGGCGACGATGATGAGGACCATGGACTCAACGGCCGCCCCAGCTTCGAGTCTGATGGCGAAGGCGTTGCTATGATCACGCAGGACCTGCACGGTGATGGCGAGCACGAGGAATTCGAGTTCAGCGAAGTCATGATTCACCAGATTATTCACACTATTGGTAAGGAATACGAAAGCGAACACCCAAGATGATACCAAAACTAACGATGTAAAAAGAATTCTGCTTGAACTGCGTTTCCCACACAGCCTCATACCTTCGTCTCTGGGCTTTGTCACTTGCCCATCAGCAACTCAGTTCCGTCCTTTGGTCCATGACCCTTGGACCTGCCCTTGGTTTCTCTGGCATCTTCGGTTCTATTGCTATCGTTGTGGTTTTCTACATGTGGTTCTTCCTTAGTAAGATACGATGCTTCCCTCACTTCTTAACAACTACTAACAGCATACTCAGCCATTGCTATCCTGGTCATGATGGAAGGTACCAGTGCCATGTTGCACTCCCTCCGTTTGGCCTGGGTCGAGTCCTTCTCCAAGTTCGCAGAGTTTGCCGGTTGGGCCTTCCAGCCGTTCTCTTTCACTACGACGTTAGAAGAGTCTGAAGAGCTGAAGGAGTACCTCGGTTAAGGGGCTTCGGCTCGAAGTTTCTCGAGAGTGTGATTTACTGCATTTTGTTTTTCATTGTAACCTTAGTCACTCTGTAACATAGCTCAATGCACTAGAGCATTAAGTATCTAAACGTGCTAGGCTACCCGCGTGATTGTCGTGAGTGTGATGGTTATACTACATGATGGCGTGTAAAACGCCGTGAAATGAACACCCTGCATCCAATATGAGAAAAAACCTCGTGGTAACTCTTAACCCCAAAGTGGGGCTGTGACCTCGGCGGCGTGCTCGCATACACGTCTCACACGGTCAGCAAAAGCCTTGTGACTGCACTCCACCTCCAGATCCTCCAACCAGACCACGGCCTCCATCTTGTCGACCTTGATACGGATGCCCGGTACGGGGATGCCGAGCTTAATGAGACGCTCAATCTCTGCGCGGCGCCGCGCCTCTAGCTTCTTCTCCTGCTCCGCCTCCGCGTCGTCGTCGGAAACGTCCATGGACGCGTCGCTGGCGTCGTCGGCCTTGATTGCCTTTGTGGCTGCTGCGGCGTCGCCTTCAGGCTGCGGCGGGAGACGGGGCTCGGCGACGGGGTTAACGTTGTCGGCGCCGAACTGTGCTTCGAGGAACATGAGGAAGCGCTCGAGGCGTTCTGTGGCTGGGACGTTTGCGTGGGGGTTCTTGGGGAGAGGTTTCGGGGCCTGCTCGTGGTCGTGGCTGTGGGAGGCCGCGGAGCCTGAGTAGATATAGGTGGTTAGCGAACCGTGAGAGAAACTCCTGGAGACATGAAGTCATAGTGATTAAGAAGAAGAGGAACATACGTTTTACTGCTGCGGGACTGCTCTCAATGGAGAAGAGACACGCCATGACAGCGTCGGCAATACCGTCGTTGAGCATGTTGCCCTCCCATTCGAGCTCGACCTCTCCGTCGCTGCGGTACCGCACGGCGACGCAGCCCATGACCAGATACGCGGCCACGAGGCGGGCGACTTCCTCGTCGGCCGCCTCCTCGCCCATCTCCTGGTCAACATCATCGCCTTCGACCTTCTCGGCGCCGTTGCCGTTGCCGTTGGCGACTGCAGCATCGTCAACGCCCTTGTCGTGAGCCGGGTGACCCATGCGCATCTCAGGGAGCTCCTCGACGCTGCCAAAGACGCCCTCGAGACCCCAGCGCACGAGGTCGACGCCAGCGGCCGTGAGGCGGAGGCGCTGCTTG